TCAAGTTATATTCTGTTTTCCCTTATGACCATCTGCCCAACCCTTTCTAAATTCGGTTGAGCTGTGGACCTGTAAAATGGCCACTGGAGAGGAATGACTGCGGATGATATTTCTTGTTTGACGGGGGCTAAGCTCCTCTTCTGCACATTTTGAGGGGTACCTTGACGATTCGCCTCTAAATTATTCATTACCCACCACACAGGCATATACTTGGAGGATCTCACGAAAACATGATAAATATCCGCTTGTTCTAAAAAGGTTGTTGAATTTAAGTACGCAAGCGTGCAAGAAACGGCGGTGGAACAAAAGGGAATGAACGGTACGAAAGCCTACCAGTCATGAACGAGGGTGAATCTTGACAAAAAGGAGAACACCTAGAAATTATAAAACGAGCAGGGAACAGAACATAATCTGCACCTATCGGCCATGCAGATCAGCAGGTTTTACCAGATTCTTGTATATACCCGGCCTTGCGTTCCCTGCAAAAACAAGCACGAGTCCTTCTGTTCTACTTAGCCTTCAACTCTTAATCAGCGAAGTAAATCCGGACTATATGTACGAGCTGTTTCTGCCTCCACATAGGTAACCGGCAACTTTTCACCTTTTTCGTTGCAGGACGTCGACGAGCTTGTCATACACTATCCCAGTATGTTCGAGTTAACGGATGATCTCCGCGGTATGGGAGAGTCCAATGCTGTTGTCAGTAGGCCTCTGCGTCTCAATCGGGACGTGCTCACTGCAGCCGCGGCCATTTATGACGGTACGATTCAGTACATTATCTTTGTCTCCTCCACCCAAGTTTGTAGTGCTACGATGTCAGACTCAAGACAGAGGCCATATTCCATGATGAATAGCATAATCTAGTAGGGTTTGGTTTAGGTCAATAGAAACACCAGTTGGAGCAGTTAATTTTAAACGGTAGAGAAAAGGGATGACCGAAAATTCGGGTAGATTGATACTATCTGTTTCGGGTTTATTCTGCCTTCATTTAGCCATCAGACCCAGTGTGAGGACTATCTACGCCGTATTAGTCCCACCTGGTAGTCAGGTTTGTGATTTACTGAGGGAAGGCAGAATAGGTCCGAAACAGACTATACATCTACCGGCATTTTCTGTCGTCTCTCTGTGCAATTATAACTTGGCCGATTTCGTTCTGGTAATTGGTTGCCTTTTCGTAAACTCCGCCACCCATACCAAGCTTGTTTGATTAGGGAAGCCAATAGGTCGGTTTGGGCCCATTCCTGCTTGGATATATATATATATATATATATATATAT